TGCGGTTCAACCAGTCAGTTTTTCAATCGCCCACAACCGCCGGAAATCGCAACCGCTCCGTTTGCGGGTGGCGGCGGTGCAACCAGTCGCCCCAAAGTGTGTGAGAATCTTAAAGTTTTGATGAGTCATGAAAGAGATGCGACAACGTGCACTCTTTGAGATCCCACTTTTTAAGATTCACAAATATGTTGTTGTTTTATTCTTCAAAGCAATTAGACAAAATCCAGGAATAATCTCTCTCTCATATAATATATATATATATATATATATATATATATATATATATTACTAAAAATAGCATTCTCCGAAGGATAAATGACTCACCTCGAACCATTAATCTCTATTTAAAAAATAAAAATATTGAACCATCTACGTTTGTAATTAGCAATTCAATCGATGCAATTGGTATTTGTCTACAGAAAATACCCTTTGTTGGTTTAATTAAGATATTAATTCAGCAAATATATATATATATATATATATATATAAACGAAGCCGTGTCCGTATATACGTGTGTAAGCATGTACCAGACACATACGTTTTGATTTCTTCAGGTCTCTCTCCACCCAAAAAAAAATCCATAGCTTTTGCCAATTCTATACGGAATTTCTCTTTCGGCCCCCCAACAGAGAAAGGAGAGATCTTTTCTAATACCTCTCCCTCCACGGAAGAGGAACACCTACAAGGGCAGACTAGACATGGCTTCTGCTTCTTCATCGATTTGGGTCGCCTTCACGGTGCTCCTGCTCGCGATTCCCTCGTCGGAATCCGTGAAATTACCATTTCACCCTCGGGACTTGCTTCCCGTCTTGCCCCGGCAGGTCTCATGGCCGATTCTCAACTCTCTCAACAGTGCCGTCGATCTTCTCCCCTCTTTTGTCGGCTCGGCCTCGCCTCAGAACGACGCCGTCCAGTGGAAAGGGGCTTGTTTCTACGAGAACAGGGCTTGGTTGGAGTTCCACAACAACTCCGGTAGCGAATTCGGTGGGGGCACACTTCATATTAAGGTGAACTGGAAGCTGATTGGTCTTCTTCTTAGAGCTTGGATCAATTTTTTTTTCTCTTTTTTTTGCTCCTCCGGTTTGATTTTGAGGTTGTGTGTGATGATTTTGTATGTGGGTCCTCGTTAATTTCGACATTTTAGGATGTTAGAACCATGAAATTGAAGTTCAGTCTGGATTACTCACAAAACACAGATCACGGTTGATGCAGAATTTATGTGGTTTCGATTAAAGTTGCTTTCTTTTGACTTTATGATGGAAGCTTACAGGTGATATAGTTGCATGTTAGTCTATAAGATTGTAGAAGATGATAAATTTCTCAGCTTTATGGAGTATCATCACTAGTTGGTAATCGTCTGAAACTATTTCGATCCACGAAACCTGGATTGATTTGTGTATGTCTTAATCCAGGTGGATAAGGCACATAGCTGGACCTGCATGGATATTTACGTCTTTGCAACTCCTTATCGTGTGACATGGGATTGGTACTTCGTTTCTCGGGAGCATACAATGGAATTTAAGGAGTGGGAAGGAAAAGCCGAATATGAATATGTAAAGCTATCGTCTTTTGTCTATTCCATGGCTTACATCTTTTCGTTTGGACAATTGAAAGAAATTCGGTATGGTTCTGTTTTCTTTTTGGTTTGAATTGAACCAGGTTAAAAGGAAGGGAGTTTCGATCTTTCTCATGCAAGCAGGGATGCTGGGAACACTCCAAGCATTGTGGGATGTTTTCCCGCTCTTTACCAATACCGGGTGGGGGGAGAATTCTAATATCGCCTTTCTTAAGAAGAGGATGGGTGCTAAGTTTGAGAAGCGGCCTGAACCATCATGGGTTACAAATGTTACTACCGATGAAATCCATTCAGGAGATCTCTTAGCCATCTCCAAAATTCGTGGACGGTGGGGTGGTTTTGAGACCCTTGAGAAGTGGGTCAGTGGAGCTTATGCTGGTCATTCCGCTATCTGTCTTAGGGACTCTGAAGGGAAACTATGGGTTGGTGAGTCGGGCCATGAAAATGAACAGGTAGAACCTTCAATTTTACCATTGCATGATTTGATGCATAGTATTCAAATTATGCTCTGGCACTTGGAATGACATGTAAGAATGTCATGCATTTCATTTTCTCAGTTTCCTGTGTGTTTTTAGTTATACATCTGTTTTATTGATTTGCTTTACCTCTTTCCATTGTTATACAACAACAACAACAACAACAACAACAACAACAACATCGCCTTAATCCCAAGTTTATTTGGGGTCGGCTGCATGAATTCTTCTTTTCCATTCATTTCGGTTTTGCATCATATGAGGACGCCCCAATATTTATATCATTAGAATTCATTGCATGTAAGATGTAGCATTTGGTTTTAGTTTTGCTGGTTTCCATTATTATACCCCAATCATAAATCTATGGTCTCCCTTTTGGTTTGAAATTTTGGGTCATAGGGAGAAGACATAATAGCCATGTTACCATGGGAGGAGTGGTGGGAGTTTGAACAAACCAAGGATGACTCCAATCCTCATATTGCATTGCTGCCCTTGCATCCCGATGCTCGTGCTAAATTTAACGTTACTGCCGCATGGGAATATGCTCGGAACATGGATGGTAAACCATATGGCTACCACAACATGATCTTTAGCTGGATCGATACTATCAGTGAAAACTATCCACCTCCTCTGGATGCTCATGTTGTAGGTTCCCTTATCAGGATTTCGGTCTTAACGAACACACTTTCTGTTTATGGCTTCTTTCTTCTGATACTCGTTATGTCATTAATGTTTAATATCTTTATTTTTCAGGTTGCCTCTGTCATGACAGTTTGGAGCAAGATTCAACCCGACTATGCTGCTAACATGTGGAATGAAGCCCTGAACATGCGACTTGGAACCAAGGTATCAGAAGTTTGTTCATGCTTGCAGCATTGGAACTGTGCAGGATAGAAACAGTCCTTCATTTAATTTAAAATGTCAGATGGAATTCTTTTAGAGCCAATTCGGCTTTTACGGATAAATTTAACTGGAAACTTCTCTGGGGAATTGCATCTTGGTAGATGGTATGCTTTCGTGTTTTACGTTTTTGTTCTGTTAATAATTATTTGATATGGATTTCAACTTCTTGGAACCATAATAATCTCTGAGATGAACAATTCTATGGTATACAGATTTTGTTTATATATAAGCTCTAAGATACCCATTTGAGATGGAACAGAATGTAATTTGTTTGAACTCTTCTCTGTTTTCTGCATAAGAATTTGTTCTCTCTCTCTCTGACATGTTCAAGATGCAGGACCTTGATCTTCCAGACATAATGGTGGAAGTGGAAAAGCGTGGATCCTCTTTTGACGAGTTGCTGACAATACCTGAGCAGGACGATTGGGTATACAGCGATGGGAAATCAACCTCTTGTATCGCCTTTGTTCTTGAAATGTACAAAGAGGCTGGGCTGTTCGATCCTATTGCTAGTTCTGTTCAAGTCACAGAATTCACGGTGAGATCCCACAGCTGCTTTTTATTTCTCATGCCCCTTGTTCTAATTCTTGGGAGATACACTGTTCTACTGCGTGTCAAATCTGGTGAATATCTTTCACAATGTCAAATACCCTTTCAAGATTCCGGAACTTCTGAAGTTTCAGACATCGGCACTCTTAGATTAGAAAATCTTCTGGGTTAGTTCTTAGTGATGCATTGTTCTCGAATCTGGTGAATATCTTTCACAATGTCAAATACCCTTTCAAGATTTCGAAACTTCTGAAGTTTCAGACATGGGCACTTTTGAAGTAGAAAATCTTCTGGGTTAGTTCCTTTAGATTGGGTCTGCAGGCTGTTTTTTTAATATGGTTTCACATTTGCAGATCAAAGATGCTTACATGCTCAAGTTTTTCGAGACAAATGCAAGCCGTCTTCCCAATTGGTGCAATGACAAAGATGATGTGAAGCTTCCGTATTGTCAGATACTGGGGAAATACAGGATGGAACTTCCAGATTACAACACCATGGAGCCATACCCTCGCATGAATGAGCAGTGCCCATCTCTACCTCCCGAATACCACAGACCGGACAGCTGCTAGAAACCATGAACTCCATCAAAAGCATCTTCCTTGGATGTTTGTTTGTTAGAACAAAATTCATGTACTGTCCACTTGTACATATTACTCTTCCAAGTTTTTAGGCCTCTGACAATATCTATAGCTCTGCTTGAATGTATCTTACGGCATGCGTCTATGTAATTGTATGCGGATGATGCATGATTATTGGTTAAAAAAGGGTTGCAGGCTGGAAAAAAGATGATCTCTTTATAAAAAAAAATGTGTCAGCGTCTCTCTTCCATGGCTGAAAAGGTGACAGGTTACATACAGGACTCTATCTTCTCCGGATAAGGGAACTGACAAATCATAAAGCTCGGAACTTTCGGTTCATATCGTCCGTGGTTTGTCCGAACAGATGATGGGCCATTCGGTGGCCCGATTGCAACTGAGTCGGACCCGGGTTGACTCGATTCATCATCCCATTGCGTTTGCGGATGTTGTATGGAGTCGGAGCTCAAAGCTTTCAGAAACCCTAACAATGGAGTCTCATTCTAAGCGCCCCACGTGTCCGGCTTGTTCCAAACCGATCAGGATCTGCCTCTGCCGACGGATCCGGTCTCCGTGTCTGGATAATCCGGTGAGTGTAACGATTCTGCAACATAGTCTAGAGAGAAAGCACGCACTCAACTCGACTCGAATCGCCAGATTAGGGCTTAGGAATGTAACTGTAACCACCGTTTTCGATGTCGACTGTGAAGCCGAGTTCGTAATTAAGGATATTCAATCGGGTAATGATTTGGGTTTCGCTGAAAATGGCGCAGAAAGGTCAGATTGGGATCATAGGTTTGAAAATGGTGAAGCTCTGAAACTTGGTGGGTATGTTGATCATAGCTCTAGGTTGGGGGAGACCAATATAATAAACATAGAATCAGAAAGAAACTTGGAATCCCTCAACCAACAACGTTCTAGTCTGCTCATGGATCATGGAAATCACCCGAAAAGACAGAAGTCTGATGAAAGTTTGAGTTTTTGTCGACATTCCGTCGTATCCAAGGGAAATGCTGTTGAAGAAAGCAGATCATCAGAGGAGTTAATCAGAGTAACAATGCGCAAACATGGTGTCATCAGTCGCATCTCTCACTCATTGAAGCTCAGAACTGGCGAGGAGGATCCTAGTTTCAAGCATATATTAGCTTCTGGTGCTGCCACGGATGTCTTGGCAAAAGGGTTTGCAGTAATGAAGATTTCAGAAGAGCAGCAAGAATTTGAGCTCGAGGTTCCTCCTGGGTCAGTGCTTTTGTTCCCCAGCGAAGAATCGGTGACTATTGTTGATCTTAAAGCAACAGGCTTTGAGCCGAGAAACTTGATAGTTTTAGATGGGACATGGGCGAAAGCCAAGAGAATGTACCTCGAGAATCCATGGTTGAAGCTTCTACGCCATGTGAAGTTGGATATGGAAGCTGCTAGTCTGTATGGAGATGTTCGGAGGCAGCCAAAGCCTGGTTGTATGTCGACTTTAGAGAGCATAGTATATGCGATGAAGGAAATCGGGAACTATCCCCGTGGGTTGGAAAACTTGTTGGATGTTTTCGGGTTGATGGTTGAAGATCAAAGGAAATGTAAAGATGCGAGACTGAGAAAAGTCTCCGAGAGCCAATAACTTTGATGCTTTATGGCTACTGGCATACAATTTGCCACCGGAGGAAGAGCTTTAGATCTAATGTAACGCTGAAAGAAGAGAAGTCGTCAATCAAATTCAGTTTTGGGAATGAAAGCTGTTTCAATGTCAAGATTTTGTGAAAAGTTTACTCTTTTTGTTGGAATTGTGTGAAGTGAGGTAATATCACAGGAAGAGTAGGAAACACGAGGGTATGATTAGGGCTGTAAAATGGGCAGGCGGGAGGAAGAGTAGGAAACACGAGGGTTTCTGGCCGGGTTAGTCTATCCATTTATTTATCGGACCTAATCATTCAGACTCATATTGTTAGATCCAAGCCCTTAATTTTTCTAGACGGATTCGGGTTGAGTTTCAGACTTTATTGACATATCGTTCAGACCATATTCTTCCTTTCTCGTTAATCAGAGATGAGCCGATCATACTTTGGAGAGGGAAGAGAAGAATAACTACTCTTTTGTTATTAGATTCAGAATTTTCTCAGTAACTTTTTTTCCAGGAAGAGTTTCCAATAAACATTTGTTTGTCATCGATGCAACAAAACTGATAGACTTTGATGATACAATACCATCATTCAGTCTCAGCCATACATTTTTCGCAGTCAAATACATCGGAAATCTCCAAATATTTACGCTGTAACGTCTGCGGATCTGAAGGCTTTGGTCCTAACATATCAGAGAATATGAGCAAGAGATGTCGGCAAGCATGGAGTTCATCGATGCTCAGCTTATCTGTGGATGGTTCAGATGAAAGATCCTTCCATGCCTGATAATATGACCTGTAGGAAGAATCAAGGTCAAGCTGAACAATGTAAGAGAAAGGCATTGCAAAAACAAAATTTACTCTAATGAGATGAGAGCGGATAGAAGGATTTTATACCATCTCCAAGCTGGATTCGCCTCGGGTGGACTACTTATTCTTGAACATAAGGATTTGATGAAGTCATCACCAGCAAAAGTTAATCCTGATTAAGGAAAGAGAATATGTCAACTTCAGAGATACCTGAACTTAGTGACTTACTTAAGAAACAAATGCTACAAAAAAAAAAAAAAAAAAACAAGTATACTCTATTAGACATCAGTCTTTGGTTCTTTTGGCTCAGTTAACTTCATATGCCAAGTTCAAGACTTGGGATATCAGCTTCACGTCCAGTCATTCTAAACCCGACTAATACAGATCCCAAAGATAAGCTCCAGAATCAAAGCAAAGTAAATCCAAAAGACATAGAAGTACAAAAAAGTTGGTCTGAAGAAGGTATACCTTCATTACCGAGCCCATTGTTAAGAAGCATGAAAGAAAGCGCACACACGACAGAGGGGAGAATCTTGAAATTAGTACCCAGATGCTGTTGGAGGAACATGATCACGACACCTAGTATGTGCTTCGAGTTGGATAACTCACTTCCATTTTTATACCTTTGCTTGACAAACTCCAACAATGACTGCAAAGTTTCGATGTCTGATTTTCTACACAACTTCTGGTCTGAATCATGGGCTCTATTATAATAAAGCTTCCCAAGGATCACTGAGGCTATCAGCCAACGTAGAAACTTCGATACCATAGTCTCCCCTTGTGATTCCTCGGGGAATGTTTTAGCATCTTGATGAGACTCATTTGGCTTGGACCCCTTTCCTAAGTCACACTTCAAGGCAGTGGAGGTTGCCCACAAAAGAAAGCTTGTCAGCGTGTCCGAGTCCTGAAAGAACATTGTGTGATACACACAGTTAAAGAATCCATTATGTAATGACCCATCAATCAAAGTATCGCAGAAACATTTCACACTTCCTATTGTTCCAACATATTTCCAGGCAATGTCAGGTCACCGAAATCAATACTGAACTTTACAAACTACCTAATCACATGCCAATAAATCACCAAACATCTAAAACATTTGAAAAGCGGAAACATAGCTTCCAGTAGATAAACCAGCTATTTGTTTTTTATAAAAGTTGCATGTAGCTATTTTGGGGGAAGCTCGGGAGAGAGATACCATCCATATAATGTCGACTGGAGGCGTACTCATCAATATAGCTCTTAGCCCAAGCTCTGCACTAGCTGTTGCTGGAGGAGAGTTGCAATTAGTGACAGCCTCATAAAGCTGGAATATACCCTCGAGTGATAAGGTGAAATGCGGCTGGTACATTTTTCTTTTCTGAGATATCTTAAGAGTTGCAGACAATATATGTACAATCGAGTCAACCAATGTGGCATTTTCTTCCGTTGATACCAATCTACCAAATAGAAGTCTGTACAAACACAGTGAGAGTTCCATTAGCTCCTCAAGGGCACATCTTTGCAACCACTCTACAACGTTTCTGGAGGAGAGGACATCAGTAATGACCTGATACAAAAAAAAAGTATATCACAAATTAGTTCAATAAATTACTCAAATGCAACCCAAGCTTATAGTGTTGGACTCAATGTAAGTAAAGCGAACAAACAGCATAAAACATTCTTAAATTCTGTGTCCTATCCTTATCACAATCCAACGTTTTCACGCTGGATTAATTTGTAGTCTTTTTTCTGGGATGGTCAGAGGTTTTAGGGTCATTGATGTGATAGAGCCAAAACATAGTATTAAACAGTTTACAAGTTTGGTCATCACATATAATATATATTGACGAACTAGTACTAAAATTTATCCATACCGCTAAGACATCAGCCAATTGCACATCTTCCTCTCTCAAGAGCTTTGCAGTAAACATCACCATAGTCGATGACAACCATGAAAATAGACCACAGTTTCCAGTTAGATGCCGAGCCATCTTAATAAATTTGACAGACTTCTTAACAACCTGCAGAGAGAGAAGAGCGTTGGATTTTCTTGTCTAGAACTGAATTCAGAAGCTTGATAACTAAAAAACCAAAGAGCACAGTATAAAAGCGAGAATACATATGATTTGACACGACAAGACAAAAAAAATCATTGTAGGGGTTCACACCGATATCTTTGGGACCAGATACACATTAAGGAGCACAAATCAACACCATGTAACAAAGGAAAAAAAGGCATTACCTGAAGGATTAGTCTTTTGGTTTCATTATCAGCAAGAGGAGATGAATAAAAGCTTATCAATGTCTCAAGGATAGAGTTTCTGATATAAACTTGAGCATCATCTTCTGAATTCAAGCCCACATACAGAAGGCGAAGTTCCCAAAGCCTTTGTGATCTGAAGTTAACAGCAGTACTCCAGAAAAACTCATGAAACATAGGTATTCCCTGATAAAAGAATAAAACAGAAACCAAGTTGAATTCAACAAGTAAACTAGAGAAAAAGAGCTTACAGTTTAAGAGAATGTGTACCTTCATTTTCAGTCTAGGTGAGCTTCCCATGAACTTTTTTAAGGCAGCATGATGTTCATGTGATGAATCCAACAATATTAGAGATGCCTCTGCGGCAAAAACAGCAGAAACAGTCGGTATTCTAAGCCATTGTTCATCTATACCGTTTTGAACATACGCCAGCAAAAGTCTAAGGCATTCTATGCGATTGTTCTTCTGACCACTCTGCGTTGAAAAAGTCTCAATGAGTGAGTTAATTCTTGGCTGTCAAAGAAATTGTACTTCAAATTTTGTCAGCAAGGAATGCCAACACTCTACAAGTTAACAATACAAATTATCATCCTTGATTTTCATTTGAGTTAAATGATACTAAATTCTATAACAAAGCTGGTTAGTGCGCTATTCCAAAACCAATGAACTAAAACACAAGGGCAAAACAAAAGCATGGAATCATGGAAGGCTTAGGAAGAGGCATAAGAAACACAATAAGGGTTTAAATTATCACTGACTTTGAATTGTGTTTCCTTTTGAATAATGCATTCGTAATCATTGGCGCATAAAACTGAATGGCCTTAGTCAATTATGTCAGCTATAACAAGAAAAAAGAAATCATTACCTTAAGGGGGTTCAACTTCTCCACAAATTTCTCAAGAGTTTTATAGCCCAATTTCCTCATCTCAAGATCGGCTGAAGACATGCTAGCAAAAGCAACTGCTAGCAGGCCTGAACTGGCAAACTCCACGAGTTCAATGTGGTTCTCAGACAAAGAGTGAATTGAGAAACGTAGGACGAAAGCTGGATCATATTGCTCAATGTTATTGATCATAGATGAATTTTTCTGCACATAAGGGAGATTTCATATGAATAATGTAGACAAATATAAAAATACAAGATTCACGTTTAAGCAGGAATTAGAAGTCATGGAAGAGTACCTCACTTATTACATCACTGTAAACTTGTAGTTCATTTGCACCGCTTCTTTGATAAGGAAAGAACATTACAGTAGACGCACATAATGTGGGATCAATATTAAGGACCTCTTTCACTGATTCAGCCTTAACAGAATCACCTACATTCAGAGCCAAGGACATGTCTCTTCTTATTTCCATGGCAGCTTTACCCCATAAGTAATCTGTTTCAGACACATTCAATGTGTGTGACCCATCAATCAACTCTATATCATGCATCAGATTGTATATTTCCAAGTCAATTTCACTTAGAGATGCACTGTAATTACACAAAAGAAGGAAATGCAGTTCTCTGAGATTAATGCCCGCCTCTTTTCCACATTTGGAGAGCAGCACTCTGACAATCTGGACAATTTCCAACTGGTTCATATGGTGCTCAGGCGTCCTTAGAACACTGTTTCCAAGTCCGACAAAATTAGGACTTGGGACAATAAGATGTTTCAGGATGCTGGAGACAGGCCTGAATAGCTCGACTGTATGAGAACAGGATGACTTGGAGAGAGAACTGATAGTCGGTGTAAACTGAGAGTGGGAAATCAAAAGTTGTAGATACGGTGCATATGAATACTTTCCTCCAGACAGCAAGGAGAAAATATCTCGCAATCTCTTCAACGTCACTGAGTCCTCAAATCTATACACAAGAGTTGATTTCATCAGCTTCTCCATGAATGGAAGGGAATCCAACTCGACAAGCCTCTCACACATCGTTTTGGCAAACTCCAGTATACTTCTTAAAATGAAATCTTCAAGACTCTTGCACAAGGATAGACACTCGTGTCTTTTTCCTTCCAAATTTCCTTTGAAAGAACCATCATATACTGAAGTTGATTCCTTGACAATGCATTGCCAACTGTTAACTAAAATATTCATCAAACATATTGACAGGTTGTCTCTAGTAGATACCGTTTCCAGGGAGCTTTCCTTTACAGAATTATCTGTTTCACCTTTGCAATCACATAAACCACTTTCACCAGGAAATATCCACATCCTTAAAAATGATACTTTTGCTACAGAGCGAATAGCAACATTCACCATTTTGTCTACTGAATGAAAGTCCAGTTCTTTTAGCTCATACTCCAACATCTCATCACAACCACTAGAGTGAGGAAAAATGGAGTGGAATACCTCTGAGAGACCCTCTGTTTTTGTTAAACTTCCGCTCAAGTGAAAGTGAAATTGCAACATATGTATTGCCTTTCCAAGAAGGCTTGCATTAAATAGATTTTCAATCTCTTCTGAAGTTGATGATACAATCTCTTCATACTTCTCCTGAAACATACTCCCAGACAAAAAGCTCTGCCAACGAAGAAAACCATTCAGTAGCATACGTGAGTAACCTGAAGTGATCTTAACAAGGTTCCTATGATATTTCTTGTCAAGGTTCACAAAAGCTGAACCTAGATATGACAACGCAGCAGGGAGAAGCATCAGAAGCTGATCATCTGAAAGAGCAGATTCACCCTGTCCCTTGTTTAGTACACTAGAAAATAAGGATCCAAAGACCGACCGATGTAAGGGACTCAACTCAACAAGATAGAACAATAACTTCGATCTGGTCATGTTTGCCCGGTTAATGCAATGGAGAATCAATTCTTTAGGAGTTTTTTCAACCGTCTGTGAGAGGATCAAGGTCAATGGGTGAACACTGTAATTCTGCTTATGTCTCCCCTTGAACATGGCGCTAACAGCTCTAAGCAAGCAAATATCTGCAGAATCCAAACCAAAAGAGGAAGAAAACTTGCATGCCAAACCAAAGATATCCTCAATGAGATCACTGTCATAATTATTTTCTTCAAATTCCCAAAGCAAATCATATATCTGTCTCTTGGAAGGAGGCTGTTGAAAATACAAGGACAGCATTTCGAAAGCTCCACCAGCAATACCCAATCCCACACCGAGAATCGCGCCAGAACTTTTTATTGTCTGCCCTTCCTCATCAACTCTACTCAGAGTCAATCGAGCAAGATTAAGCAGTTGAAAGGGTGATATAAATCTCAATAGAGCATGGATAGAATATGATACTTGGAGAAGTGGAGTGAAATTTTCAGTACCAGCACAAAGCTCCAACTTTAGTCTGTATTCTAAGAGAAGCCTATCTACCAGGGACTTAAAAGTCATAGCTGATTTATCCACGCCACAGTCCATTTCTAATGTAATGTGTTCCTCGTCAAACAAGAAGTTTTCAAAAGTAGAAGCAAGTAGATCTAGGATGTGATGATCTATCTCACTAATAACCGGCCTGCCCTTTGGAAGAAAAGTCGCTAAACAGATCTCGAAGTTTTGTGCTTCAAATGCTGTACTACAACTCAAGGGACTCTCCAAGAAAGCCAGTACCATAGGGTGGCAGAGAACTGTTTGGACGACTTCGTGCTTCCACTTATCAGAAGACATAACCAATTTACTTGGGGAAGCTTCAGAATCAAGCTTCAGTTTCGACATTTGGGAAAACAAGTGCTTCATTAGGAATAAGCAGATCTCAGAGAGCTGAGAGAGTACTGAAGCTGGCCGAACCTTGGAAGATGATCGTACTTGAAAGAACCAGAACAGAGTTAACCGGATATAGGAGACAATACAATGGCCTTTAGATTCTAAAATCTTGATCAGGAGTAGGTCTGCTATTCTCTGAGGTTCTTCTAAGCAAGAAACATCCATGCTCATTATTAAAGGAAATAATATATGAAAAGGAGCCTGGTTTAAAAATATTGAGAAGGCAGAAGATCCAGTCTCACTTATGTCCATCTTTCTTATGATTTCTTCAGCAAGAGATGAGTGGTCAGAAATATCAATCTCGCCATCACCAGTTCCTTGGTCTAGATTCATTGACCGTGTGATTTCTGAACCTTGCACAAAAATGTTAGCAAATTGCTTGGAAAGTTTGCTGAGGAAGTTTTCCTCGAGAAATGCGATGGGGCACAAAACTGAGAAAGGTGCTCCGAAGAGGGCCCACGAAACAGTCATCACAGGAGCAAAATATTGCAAGATTGCATCAGTTGTTGCAGACAACAAAGCAGAAGAAAATGCTTTAACTATTCCTGATATTTCATCCCGCATGACCCTTCTCAACAGACTTTTAACCTCATGAAGGGTTTCCGCAAAAGAATTGTCAGTGCGTAGATTCCTTCTCCTTCCAGAATACAGGCAGCAAGGTTTTTGGTCTAATAAAGTTTGTGAGAAATGCAGCAATGTTCTTAATGGCCTCCATTCACAGAAAGAATCCTTAGAATCATCAACCACCTCAGACAAGATAGACTGAATCAAACTTGAAAGCAATCCAGCATGTACCTAAGGAAAATTAATTTAAATAAATGATTTGGATATTTTATTCTAGCTCAAAATGAAAATAAAAAAAAATGATTCTGTTGCGTGAGGAAGGTTTTTTATACATATATGTACCTGAGTCTGCAAAAGAAACTTTAATGTGCTGCAGACATACAGAGATATTGTGGACTTCTCTGGTAAAGAGTAAGTTTTAGAGTCAGAATTTAGCAACCTCAAACACTTCTGCAGAGCACAAACAACAAGGGGGCTGAAACCAATCGATACACCTGCAACAATGCACGGAGTAGACATCTCAGTCAACTAGACAGTCACAGTAAGATCCACAATCAATCATCATCCTATTCAAGCAGCCACTAATTTTTCCCCGTGATGACCTACAATAATTACAATATGCACTACACATAAGCTAAATAAGTATACACAGAAACAAGTGACCATACACCTCAGCAGCAAAACCAGGTGATCCACAAGAATTTGTTGAGTTTATGACCATAATTATTCAGATGAGATTAGGTTGCACAATAAACCATAAACTATAATATATGGATCACAAAATACCTTTAAAATCTTTGAAATTGGAAACATTAGTCCTGATTATATCCCAGTGCTTGAATAAATTATTTCCAACAGTTGAAACAGCATCACATAAAAAGGAGATCACAATTGAAGTCATGCTCTGTACAGCCTCTTGAACCCTAGGAGGCAGTTTATTCATTCCAAAACCAGGTAGAAACAGGAACCATGCACCGATTTCATTTATGTCTTTGTCAAAAGCACCAGTGCTGTTCATAGCAACCAGCGCTAAATCATACGCTAGATCCTTGACCTCATTGCGTGGTGAAAAAAGTAACAGATTAATGAGTATGTGCAAATGCTTGTACATAAGAGGTGGAGTTCTCATAGGAATTCTGTCACTTTGAGACTTATGCGTCCAACTGACGTGTTGATTTAACAAAGACAAAAGAGCCCTCTGTAAGTCTGCCGGCATACTTGAAGAATTGCTCAGAAGATTCAAGAAGAAGTCAAAAGATCCTTCCAGTACATTATGCACTGTATCCTGCAAATACGATATAACCATAATAGTTTTAAGAACTTCTTCAGAGAACATCTTCCTTGTAAAAAGGTTTTCTTTTTTCCATCTAAGAAAGAGAAATATTAAAGATATAGTCAAAGACCTATTACCAAATAAATCTTGAGGGCATCAAGAAGCTTTATGTGGAAATACACCTCTGCATCTTTGAGAGAATCAATAGGCTTAGAACATATCTCTGGACCCCAAATTTCTGAGACGATCCAGAGAAATTCCTTTTCAGCATCTACCTCATCATTCATATGAGTATCCACGACCTCTGCAGCATCCTCTAGCAAAGAAATCTCTGCATCAGAACCTATCCCGCCAATGATGATGTCGTTATCCTCTTCCAAGATGCTCTTTTTAGATCTCTTAAAGCCTCCTTTTGTATCTGCTAATTCATTTTCCACCCCTGCTTTTCTCTTCACACACTGCTTTAGATTTCCAAAATGACCACCAAGAGAAGATAGTAGAGTCAAGAACACCTGCGAATCTGGGAAATAATTTCTAACTTCATTCTGAATTTCCTGTTCAAGGGAAGCCTGAATCTGCTGAACTCTGCTGCGAGAAGATGAACAACGATAGAAAGCGGTAAAGAAGGAATCCAATAACTGCAGCGTCTCCAAGAGAAATCTCAAGGTCCCATGTTTCACCAGTAAATCAGAATGGAGCAACCCTTTGTTGATCAGTGATCTGCTAAATGGGCGAGGACATATGCATTTCATGATACTTTGAACATTTACACCACCAGAAGGATGTGCATCACGGGCATCGGAATAAAGGAAGTCGAATTGACAGGAAATTCTCACTGCGGCTACCACATTTGCTGCCAAAGAAATAGAAGAAAACCTGCAATTGCTTCAATCACTATGCAGTAACAATGCTAAAAAAAAATTAAATGTGCGAATCTGATTCAAAATGCAGCACTCAATATAATAAAGATAGATATCCTACGGAACATGCAGTAAACTAGAGAGGACTAACCAGGTGGGTGATGTATAATCTTCAACATTGTACGGGAACTCATCTAAGAAAGCCGAACCAAGAGACGGTCTACCCTTAACAATGGCTAGAAGCAAGTCTTTGTGATAGTCAATTTCTGTAGCTCTTAACTTCTTCATGAGCATAAGTAACCTCTTTGAATTGCCTTTCAAATGCCGCTCCGGATCTGGCATTAACCCATTACAAGGGTCCGTACAAACCTTAACAAGAACATCATGGGCCAACTCATTCACTACTTCAGAATCCTCTCTTGCCAAAATGCTGACTAGCTGCTCCAATGCGACGCTTCCAAAAAGAACACTCCTTAAACCAGGAGGAATAGATGATTCTTCAACAAGGACTCTATCCTTCAATGTAGACAAGACATAAATGAGTGTCTCATCATCATCATTCCCAAGACCTCGAAGGACACGAGAATACACTTCCTTCTGCTGTATAACCATCCTTAACAATCCAGGCTTCCCAACTTCAAGGAACGATATAGCAAATTCAACAAAGGCCTTCCTCGTAGAGCGTTCCCTAACCTTTTCTGACCCTCTCATTTTACACTCAGCCAATTTCACAAACCCCTGAGCATTGAAATCAAATTTATCTGCAACATCTGAAGCAATGCTTGGACCACGCCTAACAATCGAAGCCAACAACAAAAGCGCAGCATTCTGCCGCTTCACTTCTTTGCTTTTCAACTCTTCCTTTATGTCACTCAGCTTCTCCTTCTCTTTAATAATTAACCTACTAAACTTGTCGATACTTCTAACAATATCATTGTGGGATTTGCCTCTTCCCTCTGGGTGACTCATAATAGCAGAAATAAGCGAAAATATATACGATAGTCCTTGTTTTCCCCGTCGAAGTTGCCATGCGTCTAGAAGCTCAGAAAAATTGGCTGACTTCTGTGCATGTAAACGCAACAGCTCTCCACCAGATTCTCCTCTTAGTAATTTAATGTACTCCTTAGAGGCATCCGAACATAATTTGATCTCAAGTGAACCAATCTTTTGCAATAACTCTGTAAGTTTGGCAAAAATCGGAACCTTTACTACTTCAGTATCGCCATTCCCTTCGTCCACAGCTGAAAAAAAAAAACACAGAGATTTTATTCAATCATTAAACAAGCAACTTCTCCAACCCCTCGCATTGTTTGAACATAGTACTTAAAAAACCAGCCAGGGCATAAAGAATTGAAACTTTAATTTGGGAAAAACCGAAAGTTGACACGAGATTTATCGAATTCCAACGAGAGAGAACAATCACAGGAGTGCTAATACTGTTAATCTGGGATTCCAAGTTTCTGGTTCTCAGACTACCTTGATTGTCAGAATCTAAAGCTGATTTCGCCATCGGAGGAGTATACCAAGAGCTCTTCTCTCGGCGATTTGAGACCGCTTATTAGGGTTTAGGGTTTTGGAAGACCAATTTATGATTTATGAATTACTATTTCTATTTTTCTCACATTCTAAGAAGAAAAACGAAAAAAAAAATGAGAGCTTTGCTACATCAAGAGAAAACGTTAATGGGCCTGTCAAATACACCTAATTAGGCCCTTTAAATATATGGCCCAATTATACAAATTAGGCTGAGACATGTGTATATGGGCCTCATCCCAATTTCCCAAATTGGGCCACTGAGACCTGAAACGAATCCTCTATCGCTTATATAGTTACTGCGACACCACATAATGAGCGAAGTTTCCTCTCTTTTCTTTCCCCGGTTTTTCTCGCCTCCAAAATCTAGGTTTTCGTCATCATGATGCAGCAGCCGCCGTCAGCCGCCGCCGGAGCCTCTGCAGGGCAGATTCCGGACAACCAACAGGCTTACCACCAGCAGCAGCAGTCATGGATGATGATGCAGCAGCAGCAGCAACCGAATGCTCCGCCGTCTGGATGGACGGCACAGCAGGTTCCGCCGCCGTCTCAGGCGTCGCAGCAGCACCATGAATACGGCTCACAGAATCCAGGATCTGCCGGCGAGATCCGTTCGTTGTGGATCGGTGACCTTCAGTCTTGGATGGACGAGAACTACCTCATGAGCATATTCGCTCACACTGGCGAGGTAATATATGTGTGCGATTTCGACCTTGATTGTTATTCAGAGGAAGGAACCTCACTAATTAGATTAAAAAATTAATCTTTTGGTTTATCTGTAGAAAATCGAAAAATTCATCGATTCCCTCTAAATGTAATCGATTCTTACGTTATTGTCTCGACAAAGAACGAGTCCTCCTTTCACGAACGTTTTCGATGGATATATGATAGGAAATGAATATGGCGCCCAAAAGATTATTTTTTCTTTTTGGGTCTTTTTGCCGTTCTCTTATTTCACGATAATTTTGAAGATCCTTTTCTATGTATGATCTAATTGATAATCACCTATTTGAGGCTCGAATTCCGTGTTTATGATCATCGTGTGTTCTCTGCGGTTGCAGATTCAATCGGCTAAAGTTATCCGCAGTAAGCAGACAGGATATTCGGAGGGCTATGGTTTCATTGAGTTCGTTAACCATTCTGCAGCGGAGCGGATTTTGCAGACTTATAATGGTACTCAGATGCCAAACACTGAACAAAATTTCAGACTCAACTGGGCTGCCCTCGGCTCTGGAGAGAGGCGCCAGGCCGAAGGACCTGACTACACAATTTTCGTTGGCGACTTGGCACCTGAAGTTACTGACTATATGCTGCAAGAAACATTTAAGAATATCTATCAGTCTGTTAAGGGGGCAAAGGTCGTGACTGATAGGAACACTGGACGATCCAAGGGCTATGGTTTTGTCAGGTTTGGAGATGAAAACGAGCAGTTACGTGCCATGACGGAAATGAATGGACAATACTGCTCGACCAGGCCAATGCGCATTGGTCCGGCTGCCAGCAAGAAGCCTCTTACAGCTCAACAAGGTATGTTTTGGTAGGAGTCTGTATGAGTTATGTTTGAACTTTTATATGAGTATGCTTGTGTTTATCCCTCTATGTTGAGCATGTTAGGTGATTTTTTTTTGTCTTTTTGTATTGTTCTTAATGTGTTGAATTCTTTCTGATTGCTAGAAATTTTTCTGTCAGTTCATGCTTGGAGATCAACAGAATTTGTCTCCTCTTTTCCTTCTGGTTCTTGCCTTTCCGCACTTGGAAGCATTTAATATCATAGAATATGCAAAAACTTATAGAAAAACTCATGTTGTCTTAAAGCAGGAGAACAAGAGGCTCTCTTTGGGGGGCCTGGAACTGATTTCAGCTGAAAATGATTCCACTTTATTGCGTGGCCTCATTTTAGGTCAGTTAATTTTGTTTTCCACAGGAGTTCCATACTTACAAGTGGCGTTTAATTAGCTACAGTCACAAATTATTTCCAGTTCCTTATTTACCAAGCAATTCCTTATTTTTCGCAGCAGTACTTTATTTTAAGCCTTTCCTTTTGAGTTTGTATATTTCAATTTCCATAATCTATTACATTCCTCTTCCTATTCTCAGCATGAAATCTTTAATTATATCAAAAGATTTCTTCATGTCTCTTTGTTCTTCTTCTATACCTGGATAATGGTACAAGTTTTTTCCTCTCTTTTCATTATCCTTCTCTTTCAGATTTATGTTTCCATTTTCCTGACCAATTTATAGTTTGGAAAGTTGATTGCTAGAGTAGTGCATCAAGACCCTAAGGAACTTTTGTTATACTTGACACCCCGCATTGATGTTCTGGTGTTTTGGTCCTGCAAGACAAGTTTCTCTTGGATATCGTACTAAAATATTTGTGCATGAATTGTTAACTAGCTTCAGAATTTCCTGAACTTGATCTCGAAACAGTGTTTTTTTTGTTTTGTTCTTTCTACTGAGGTTTCTCTTTGTTGTTTGGATGTTGATGATCTTTGTAGATGAGAACGAAATGGGTATCATCTGTTTTGCTGTATTCTCTGTTTTGTTTCCATTAAATTGTTCTGTGTGGAAGAGTTGATAGGCATTTGAGATTCTTTCCTTTATTTCATCCGTCTGCTATTTGCAGCTACGTATCAGACTACTCAAGGAAGTCCTGGAGAAAGTGATCCAAATAATACAACAGTGCGTAGTTTGCTTCAATTTTCTTAAAAGTTTATTTCGTTTGGTGTAGTGGTGAACTGAAACGACCTTCATGTTTTTCGATCCAGATTTTTGTTGGGGCTCTTGATCCTAGTGTTACAGATGATGTATTGAAGTCAGTGTTTGGTCAATTCGGGGAATTAGTTCATGTGAAAATACCTGCAGGAAAGCGTTGTGGTTTTGTTCAGTTTGCCAACAGGTAGTGACTGAGCTTGGGGACATGATATATGATATTATGTATCACAATATCTTTCTTTAGGAATGTGTTTCATCTATTGTGTCCTATGCGCAATTCAGGGCATGTGCAGAGCAAGCTCTCTCCATGTTGAATGGAACAACACTAGGCGGACAAAGCATTCGTCTTTCATGGGGCCGGAGTCCTTCTAGCAAGCAGGTCTGTCTGCAATGAGGTGTTTTGTATGTTTTTCTCTCGGGATGCCCGCTTGTAAGTTTATAGACGATTTTGATTACTCCCCATCTGTGGATTTTCAGGCACAACCGGACCAAGCTCAGTGGAATGGGGGATACTATGGTTATGCTCCACCTCAGGGATATGAAGGATATGGTTATGCACCTCCTCCTCCTCCCCAAGATGCTAACATGTATTATGGAGGTTACTCTGGCTATGGCGGCTACCAGCAGCCCGGTGGCTACCAGCAGCAACAGCAGGTAACTCTTATTGATCTGATGATAGTTATATGTTCCTTGAGAGCTCCCACTCACTGGTCTCTTCCACTTTTGTTTTTTTGGGTCATTGCAGTGAAAGCATGTTTTATGAGGATGGAGCTGAAGTTCCAAACTGTCTGAGTGTGCCTTGTCTAGGCTTTCTAGTTGTGGTATGACTGCTTTGAAGCACTTGTGGATTAGTTCTGCAGACTCCTCTCTCTCTCTCTCTCTCTCTCTCTCTCTCTCTCTCTCTCTCTCTCTCTCTCACTTATGCGCGTTGGAATTCAGACTGATGTGGTGTCACCAAGGTTGAAGGCTTGTGTTTTTTTTTACTATTGACGACCATTTTCCCTGTTGGGTTTTATATTTGCCATTGGTGTTCGTGTTTCTCTGACTATGCAGTACTTGAAGCATGGCTTGTCTGAACTTAGATCTCAAGTATAAACAAAACTGATGGATCTCCACAACATGATTCAGGACATAGTGATATATATGTATGTATGTATGTATGTATATGTATGTATTTGCAAATGGCATGGGGCCAACTAGCAATTCAGCAAGATCTCTAATTAAACAAATGTATATTGCTTTTCTAATGAGAGGCTAACATGGCCAACATTACCATTCTCAGCTGAGTGGGCAGTTTTGTCACATAAAAAGTCTCTCTATTTAATCTTTTATGGATTGACCTCAAAATATGTGATGAAAGGAGGCTCTCTCACAGATCTGGATATTTTACGAGGTCTTAGACTTGTCCAAATATAATGGATTTTTAATTTTGGTCATATATTCGAGTTCGAGTATTTCTTTGAAGTAATTCAGCTATAAATGTTTATGTAAATATAAAATAAATGGAAAAAGATTGAAATGGTTTTAGTTTTGTGAAAACTAACACTAACGGTATTTGTTTCATAAATTTTGAACTGAAATCTCTCCGATGATATTTTGGTAAATACCACGATGGATCGTATAATGTATTAATCGGATCATAAAAATCTTGATTATAATTTATATGATTTACCTTTCTTTTTTTTCTTTTGTTACGAGATGTTGGAAAACATAATATCATTTATTTATTTTTTTAGGTTTGAAAACCACAAGGCCGAAGAGTACATAAAATATTTATTAATTTGTTGGGCCAAGATGTTGTAAAATAGGCCCAATAGGCTTTAGTGGGCCGAAAGCCAGTGAAAATGGAAGAACAAAAGGTGCCTCTGCTTTTGCACCTCCCTCGATCTCGCCTTCTTCGTCTTCGCCTGAGTACAATATATATACACACGATCCTGTAACCCCTTGAGAGAGAGAAAATTTTCTAGAGAGAGAGAAAGTTTTCTCGAGAAAATCACGAGGAGAAATCCCAACGAAGAGATTCAGAGAACTGGAGATGGGATACACGAAGAAAGCGGAAGAAGGAAACTCCCGTTCTTCTCTTTCTTCGTCGTCTTTGAATGAGGCTCTACTATTTGCTACTATGTGCATCGTCGGCTTGCAGGTCCATGTGCACGTGAAGGATGGCTCCGTTTATTCGGGAATCTTCTACACCGCATCCGTCGAGAACGGCTTCGGTGCGTTTTCCTCCGGGTTCAAGGATTTTTTTTGTTGTTGTTGTTTATTGGCTTTCGGATTGATTTGTTTTGTTGCTTTGATGTTCGGTTTGAATGATCCTTTTAGTCTTTCTTTCGTAATTCGAAGCAGTGTCTGAATCTTAGGTTTTGCATGGAGTTGTTGATCTCACCGAGATTTGAATAGGATCGTTTGGTATGGGATCCGGATTCGGCTCATTCGTTTGTTCAGTTTCAGTTAATTGATTGCGGTTCCCAATTGAATGAAATTCTCCAATTCGGTGACACTCTTGATTCATTGCTTTGTGGGAATGAAAGTAGAAGGTAATGGTGGTGTTTCTTTTCTCGAAATGATTCTGTTGATTCGGATCGATTTTTAGATTATTACATTACTCAAGCAAAAGTTAGCATAGAATTCAATTTTTTACCAAAACTAAAATTGTAATTTCCCGTTAGGATCTGCTTGTGCTCTGTTTCTTCCATTACTCATTAATGATTATTAAGCTAAGCCATGATTATGCTTGCTTTTGTCTGCATCAATTCGTTAAGCTTTTGTGCAGTGACAAAGTTCTGGTCTTTTCCCGTGATCTTATTATGCGATGGTTTATTTCTGGTATGGAATTTGTAATACCGACTTTGTTCTGTCTAGGCGTTGTTTTGAAGAATGCAAAACTGACTAAAAAGGGTACGAGCAAATCAAATGTAGCAAGTGGGAGTGTGGTGGAAACACTTGTTATTCTCTCTTCCAATATTGTTCAAATTATTGCCGAGGTCTGTCCCTTTATCTTTTTTTTTCCTTTTGATGAAATTGTCTTATGTAGGCTTCATCTTCCTAAAGCTTTGTCTATCCGGTTTTTGTGACTGGCTTGTGGATGTTTTCACAGGGAGTCTCGCTTCCATCAACTATTGAAGGCAATACTGTGGGTGAAAATGTTGAATTTGCCATGGCAGCTGTTCCTTCTGAGCCCCTTACATGTGATGCGAATAAACCTGCCAAGTCTGGCAAGGATGGAAAGGGTATTAATCATAGAAGGTACAGGATGTTAGGGTTTTCAAGTCCATGTTCAGTTACTGAAACTAAAGGTCCTAAAATTATGGATGCATAATAGTTTTGTGTATCTTTCCCCTACCTGCACTTTCTGGGTTTTTCCTTTGTTTATTGGCTAGGATATGAAAATAACCAATTTTACTTCGTGGCTTTAAAAGCTCATGTGAAAGGTTGTATTAATCTCTCTAATTACTGAAACCAGAATTTCTGCTAGGCTTGGAACTCATTGTGCAAATTAAGCTTTAACCTTGAAATCTAACAAGGGTCAAGAAGATATGACTCCTCTGCTCAGTCGTTTCAGGAATGACACGGAAGCTGAACATGGGCGAAGAAATGGGTTTGGTGCTCCAAAGGTAGCTTTGTCTTCTTTGTTGTGTCCTTGTTTCTAGTTAAAAGATAATACTTGCCTTCTCACGATAGGAGCATATACAAGATGGATTAGCAACCTGTCCTGTTGTAGTTTGTTTCTGTAGGTACATGGTTTCCAGTTTTGGACACACCTTTAAATAAATGTCATATGTGGATACATTGATTGAGATTTATTCGTGATTTTTTTTTGTTACATATTACCTATTTTCAGTCAGGTCACCACCTTGAACTTTACGTTGTATCACTTTTAACATTTTCCTTCCTCTTTGCAGAGTAAATATCATCAGAGCTCTTTGATCCAGCAAAGGTACGAATCACTGTCTTACATCATATATCTTTCTACTGGAGAACTAAACTTCTCAAACTGCCTTTCATTAGATCTTAGTTTAAAAAAGCGCGTCTGGGGCGCGCCTAGGCGGTGGAGGCGCATAAGCGATAAGAAAATCGCCTCCAGACTTGGAGGCGAGGCGAAATACAGGAAGCGGTCCTAGGCGCGCCTTTCAGTGCGCTCTGTACAAGGCGTGAGTCGCGCGCCTCTGAGATATGGGGCGGTGCAATCACAAAAAAATCAAATTTTCTGAAAAAAAAATGATGAAAATTGAAGAAGGGGAAAACGTGGGCAAGTGTGAGAGAGCCTTCTTGAGAAAGGCAAATGGAGGGAATCATTTAATTAAATTTAAGAAATAAGTGGCGTTCACTAAGACTCTTCTTTTTAAATATATACATATAGATATACTATACAAATTAAATAATAAGATTCATTATATATATATGCATTGGTGATATTTAAAAAGTTAATTTTTTTATCAAAACAAATAATATTTATCTATCATTCTATTTTTAATTTTATTTATATTATTGTAAATTTTGATTATTTATATATAATAAGTATAGTATACTAACTAAATTATATAATCTATGTTGATATAGTTAGTATATAATCTGTACTACCTAAACTATAATATATATATATATATATATATATATTTTGATATAAAAATGATAGGCGCCTCACATACGTGAGGCGTGTGCCTCCGCCTCGCGCCGCACGCCTCAGTTTTTTGGACCTTTTGCGCCTCGTGACGCCTCGCGCCTTTTACAACCAAGCATTAGATATAAATCTTAAACTACCAGTTGCAGTAAGAGTTTTTATCTCGCAAGTCTTTGAGTGCTCTGATTCTGGTAGATTTGTGTTGGCAGACAGGGAATGCATAAGTTGGAGCATGATGAACCAACTGTTGACTTTCATAAGGAAGACAATGTCCGTCTTGCACAATGACGTTTAATATTTTTTGTAGCTTTGGATATTCCTCAGTAGTTTCTCATTTTTTGTAATTACCTTTTGCAGATGGATGTCCAAAGCTCGAGTTCTAGCTGTGAGTGCTTCTCCCTGATATTTTACAGATTCTTTTTTATACAGTTATAGCTGTCATGGTTCTTTTCTGCTACCTTTTCACCACTGAACGTTGCGTGACATGCTTAGCTTGAATTTTCTTTCATTGCATGAAATAATGATCATCCAGTTGATAGCACCTCTGAACGAGTGAAACCAATAGAAGAAGATACTATGACATTGGAGCTCCATACTACAGGACCTTGTCATGATGCTGCTTCTGAGAGGCCCCCATCAACTGGCAATTCATCAGTTCATAGTACAACTACTGATGAAACCTCAGAATTGTATCAGAGTTCAGTACCATCTTCAAATGGGTCAGTACCTATGCAGGCCACAGACCCCATTAAAAAGCCTAAGGTAAAACCGAGAAATGGTTACTTTAGATTAATAGCTCCTTTCTTGAGTAAGTATGGAAACACATTCTCTGAGGTGACGGTTTCACTGGTGCCACTCGAAAGTAGTTAAATAGTTTGGGATCCAAATTATTTTGGGGGTTCTCATTTGATGATTGACTACATGCATGCACACACCCACAAAAACACTCCCATATTACATTTTAACCAAGTTTATCTTCTGATACTGTAAATCCAGGAGTTTAAGCTGAATCCAGGGGCAAAGGATTTCTCTCCGTCTTTTACAAAGGGCCTTTCACCGATTCCTGCTAGGTCTGTCCCTTTATCTTTTTTTTTCCTTTTGATGAAATTGTCTTATGTAGGCTTCATCTTCCTAAAGCTTTGTCTATCCGGTTTTTGTGACTGGCTTTTGGTTGTTTTTACAGGGGGCTTATATACCAAGCAATGCTATGTTCCCAGTTCCTGAACCTCTTCAGCCGGAAGTTGGGATTAGCCCTTTCATTCATCATGCAACTTTGCCTGCCAAGTCTGCGCCCTACAGTAATTTGACTGCTGCAAATGCTGGCAGTGGATCTCTTATTCCCCAACCCGTACGTATCAATAAACCTGAAAGTAGTTTTCTATACAGCTTTCTTACTCTCTGAACCTGTTTTCTAAACCTTTCTTCATCGACTATAAGTTGACAAGATGCTGCTCTTTTCTGCACCAAGTATCAGACTGTAGGGTTAAGAAATTCCAATGCTGCAGCACTAGATTATAATAAATACTAAAGAATCATCATGTCACATGACATCGGGTCGATGTAACATTTTTTTAACTGCTTAATGCTAGTTTCTTCTTACTTCTAGTTCCAAGTTTGTATTTTGGATTCCTTACACAGATGAATACAATATTTTCGCTTGTGTCCCATTTTTTTCTCCAGATGCTTGGGCCCACAGGTAACAGGGCACAGCCCCTTAGATTCACCTCCCAGTACCATCCTGTTCAAGCTGCACCGATGCTTGCCAATCCTAATCCTCAGGTTTTAATGCTTGGAGCACTCCGCATCCCACCCCTGTGTTAAATAGTTCTCTTCTCCCGTTTTTTTCGAAGGATAATAACATCAATGTTATCATCTGAGCTTGTGGTGTATGACTTTCTGAACGATATTTATCTTGTAATTTAGGTGATGGTCAACAGATTAGGGCAGCTTGTGTATGTGCAACCAGTTTCTCCGGTAAGAACTTGATCCATTCCGTATAAAAATAGCTTGTCCACGCTGATTGATTATGCTGTGAAATAGGAGCTATTATTTTCAGCATTGTTTAATCTGAGAAAGACGAAACCCGGCTAAATGATAGCTGACTTCAGGAATAGCTGTCTTTTGCTTGTTGTTCAGTTGTTCCTTTTCTATCTAGTCCTGTTTTATTTCATGCTTTTTTCTGCAGTTGGCTTTAGCTGCCTTATGATCAGCTATATTATAAGAAATTTGTTCCGAAAAGAGTATATTTACACTTCTCTTTCTTACGGTGTTCCCTAGCGAAGGAAGCTTTATGAGGTGGTCAAGTGTGGTTCAAACGGATCCACTTGTGATTCCATTGTTTACCTTAAGTTACGGCATTCATGTCCATAACCACGTTTTCTCTGTTTTGTTTTTTTTTTACTTTAAAGGACTTGGTTCAAGGTACATTGGCTCTTGCACCTTTGCCTTCACGTCCTGTCTTGACCGCTCAACAGGTTCAGTACCCAAAACACCAAGGTACAAAAATAAGTTAGGCTCTCATCTCTTATTTTCAAGTAGGAAAAGGAACAACTTATTCTAACCATTTACAATGTTATTAGCTAACGTGAATCTGACTTTTGTCTGTATTACTTACTCTTCCTCCGCTGCAAAAACAAAGATCCCGGAAGAAACATAGATTCCCATTTCCCTCTTGTTTTGGATCAGAGAATCATTTTTTTGGTCGTGCAGGAGTAGTGGCAGGAGGGCAACCGTCGTTCCCGATCTGCCTTCCCCAACCTTTCGTGGCCAACGGACCGCAACCCTTTTCAGGTGTGCCTCCTCAGTTCCAAGTTTTGCAGCCTCCTTTCACAGTTAACCATCCCATTACAGTCCCTACCCCTAATGGTTTTCTCAACACAAAGTTCCCATAGAGAAAGAACCTCTTTTTTCTTGATCTTCAAACCTTAAAATTCCTTTTCACTTGTCCCCTTAATAAAAAGATTACAGGGTTTTGGTCTCATAGATCTTGTTCTTGTGTTTGGTTTTCTTTTTCTTTTTTTCCCTCTTTTTTTTTTTGTAGTGGTTTTGTCTGGTTTGGGCATTGGGTTTGGGGGTTTTTGTTGCATGTTAGGACATCATTCACTATTCTTTGAATGCCATAACATAAAGTTGCCAAAAGATTCCTTTTTTTGTGGTGTTTTAGATTCAGAATTGCCTCCTCTATAAATTGGACTGTATTATTTTTCCAGTTTTGTTTTTCTCGAATTCATGTTCACTCCACACCAATAAACAAAGTTAAGACTTTTATATCTTTTATATCCTTTTCCACGAATTTCGATACAGTGAAGAAACTACAAAAGCTAAGACACCACACCTGTAAGAAACTCAAACAATCGATGCTTCATTCAAATCTAAAACCTTTGCCCTTTTTGAACAATAACAAAGAAAATGTCACAAAGAACCTGACCACGACAGGTCACCATAATCTCTCATAAAGATTCAGGTTTCTGGGAATCAGGAAGATTACGAACGTAGATATCGTGGGCCGTCTTCAAGTAACCATTGATCTTCTCTCCGTCCAGCTCTCTGTGCTGATCGGAGGAAGGTAACTCACTGTTATAGGCGCCGGCCGAACGTGCAAGCTTCCCTTTCTCCATGCTCGGTGAGTTCCCGTTAGGACCATCGGCACAATGGGTAGCCGAGACTGGAATGCCATGCGAATGAACCCCTGGAAACCCCCGAGTTCATGACAAAGTGTCATTGAAATATCGAAATAAAATTTCTCGAACAAGTTCCTTAAATAAAATTCTGCAGCTGCAAGTTTATAGCCCTAATGTGAAGCTTGCAATGCCTAATTTTGAGCAAGAATGTGGTCCGAACACGCCTCAGTTTCAAGACAAGATTACTAGCCCAAAACACAACTCTTTGCTCTGTCTTTAGAACCATGTCCTACTCTTGTTCCATTTCGAATGCAAGATCATGAGAAGAAGAAGGATAGAAAAACGTTTTATGACATAGATCACCTTCTTGAAAGGAAGTAGACGGTCGCTCTTGGACCTGGTTCCTTCCGGAAAATGACGAGAGACAGAGGGTGTCTGGTAACCGAACCAACAGTCGGTTCATCGGTAAAAAAAAAAACGGGTCCAATAAAGAACCAATCTGAGAAAAGAGAAAATGTAACTTCGCCCCTCTTTCATAGACTGGATTGCGTTTTTCTAGAACATTATTTTCTTGAATATCATTCAAAAAAGTTTCTACCATATATGTTTTTTGCATTTCGTCGAAAATCGATGATCAAGATTTAGCATTGCTACAAAAAAAAATTCAATGTTTTAATTGGGAGTTTGTTTATCCGGGGGGATGCCTCCTAAAGAGTAACGGAGGTGTGCGAAGGTAGGCTCAAGCTAAGATTCTGCTCGTGAGCGTAATGGTATAAGCCTGCCTGACTGTGAGACCGACTGGTCGAACAAAGACGAAAGTCGGCCATAGTGATCCGGGAGTTCCGTGTGGACCGGAAGCATATACGGTCGAACATTATCGCGTTTAATGCTTACCCTAATACGATACCGTTTTTGTGGGCCCTTGCTCATTTATGGGGACGAAGTATTAAAAAGAGAACTCAAATAAAATCCTTTTGATGTTTCTAGATAATCACAGATAGATCTTGATTACCATGTACTCAAAATTTCGGTTTTTAAAAGTAACATAAATTAAAATGTAAAAGGCCAACACAATGAATACTTATAAGTAATTAGTATAGACCCTAATTGTTTTCACATTCTCTCAAAACTATTATAACGGCGTGGATGGAGCAGGGACATGATTTCAAGAATTAACAAATGACATAACCAAAACAAATGTGCTCTTTTTTCTTACCGTTGGTTTATATAAACTATTTTTGCATTTTCTTAAACTTTAATACTGCTGATGGGGCAGTATTATGATGTACGATATTACAGAACCAAAATAATGTGTCATTTTGGTATATATATATCTGTTGAAAACGGAAGACGAAAAAAGCAATAGTAAAATACTGAACAACGAGAGTATGAGAGAGAGGAAAGAGAAAGTTTCTTCGTATTTCGTATGTTACAAATGAAGTACATCATCCACGTATTTATAGGTAGATATAAGAAACTTCTTCATAGTGAAGAAAAGTCAGTTTCTTCATAGTGAAGAAGAACCAGCTTCTTCATAGTGAAGAAGAGCATAATATGGATCTCACTAGATAATGTGGATCCTGCTAGATGTCTACTTGTATGTTTACAATATTCTCCCTTAGACATCTAGTATAGACTGCCTCATTAAAAAGCTTATCATGGAAAAATCATGTGGGACAAAAATCATGACGAGGAAAAACGAGTACAGTCTTACAATCTTCCCCTTAACCAATATACATACGTTTCTTCACAAACTTCGAAGACAATGCATTCCGATATTCTAAATATGCTTCTTAAATGTTGAAGTATGGAGTACCTTTATGAATAAATCAGCTACGTTGTCACTTGATCGGATATAACGGATATCAACTTCCTTATTCTTTTTGAGCTCTTGAGTGTAAGAGAAGTATTTCGGAGGAATATGCTTCGTTCGATTATTCTTTATGTATCCTTATCTAGTTTGGGCAACACATGTAGCATTATCTTCAAATAATATTGTTAGATCGATATTAATCGGTAATCCACACGCTTCTAGTATACGGCGGGTTACCGCCCTGAGCCACACACATTCTCTACTTGCTCCAGTTTTGAAAACATATCCAGTCTGTGATCGAGCTTTATGAGGGTCGGATAAATAGCCCGCATCTGCAAAACCGATTAACTCAAGTTTCGAATCCTTAGGATAAAATAATCTCTCCTTGTAAATAACAAAAGATATGTTTGATCTCTATCCAATGTCGACTTGTTGGAGACTATATCTCGCTAAAAGATTAGTAGCAAACGCTATATTCGGTCGAGTACAGTTAGCAAGATATAACAACGCTCCTATCGCGCTCATGTAGGGTACTTCAGGACCGAGTACCTCCTCTTTATCTTCACAAGGGTGAAATGGATATTTTTCAACATTTAGGGATCTACAAACCATTGGAGTACTCAAGGGATTTGATCTATCCATGTTAAAACGTCTCAGAATTTTCTTGATATAGTTGGACTGATGAACAAGTATTCCACTAGGAAGATGTTCTATTTGTAGTCCAAGACAAAACTTTGTTCGTCCCAAATCTTTCATCTCAAATTCTCCTTTGAGATAATTTCGGTCATTTTCAATTTCTTTTGGAGTTCCAATTATGTTTAGATCATTCACATACACTGCTGTAATCACAAAGTTGTTATCTATTTTCTGGATGAATACACATGGGCAAATGAGGTTATTAACGTATCCCTTTTTCAGCAGATATTCACTTAAACGATTATACCACATTCGTCCAGATTGTTTTAATCCATATAAGGATCATTGTAATTTGATCGCATATGTTTCCTTGGACTTTGAGTTTAATGCCCCTTGCATTCTCAATCCTTCAGGAATTTTCATGTATATATCATTTTTCAATGATCCATATATATATAAATTTGTTTTGACAATATCCATGAGATACATTTCCAAATTCTTGGAAGTTATCAAACTTATCATATATCTGAACGTAATCGCATCTATGATTGGAGAATACGTTTTCTCATAATCTATTCCAGATCTTTGAGAGAAAGCTTGTGCGACAAGACGTGCTTTATATCTCATAATTTCATTATTTTCATTTCTCTTTTACACAAAAACTCATCTGCATCCAACTTGTTTTACATCGTCAAGGGTTTGGATAATGAATCCAAATACTTTTCTTTTATTTAATGAGTCTAATTCTACTTCCATACATTCTTCCATTTTATCCAATCATGTCTCTTTTGACATTCAGATACCGACATTGGTTCTGGATCTTCATTATCATTTTTTGATTTCCTTAGATACAGAGAAAGAGAATATTCCATCACTATCATCTATCTCATTTTTGACTAACATCTTTCTGTTATGGATGTAGTTGATAGAAATCTCATTGTTTTCTGTATTTTGAAGATCATTTTCATCATTTTGAGTATCTTTTCCCTCATTCGGTTCTTTTGGATTAATCTGAGGACTATCATCAGTCTCAGTTTTCTTCCTTTTTCGTGGATTTCTATCTTTAGAACCGGGTGATCTTCCACATTTCAACTGTGCCATAGACTCATTTGAAATTCTTTTCTCCCCTTGATCCTTTGGTAGTATTATGATTTTGTCACCCGTACTGTATTTGTGAATCCATCTGACAATCAATTTGCTACATTTTGAAAATGTATGATCTTTTGTACTTCAAGATCACATTGTTTAGTGGGAGGATCAAGATATAATAATGATTTTGTTTTCCACGTCAAATCTTGCGAGGCTTGTATCATTCCTCCCCCTAACGTCGGGAATTCATCTTCACGAAAATGACAATCAGCAAAACGAGCTGTAAACATATCACCCGTTTGTGGTTCAAGATATCGAATGATTGAAGGTGATTATATCCAATGTAAATATCCAATCGTCGTTGTGGGCTCATTTATATACGTTATGGCGGAGCTATTGGTACATATACCGCACAACCAAATACTCTAAGATGAGATATATTTGGTTCATTTCCAGATTTCCAGTTGCCAATTGCACTGGAGAATATTTATGATATGCACTCAGTCGAATTTGAATCAGTGCTGCAGAACGTAAAATAGCATATCCCCAAACAGAAATCGAAAGTTTTGTTTTCATCATCAATGGTCGAGCAATAAATTGGAGTCGTTTAATTAATAACTCGGTCATACCATTTTGTATATGGACATGGGGAATAGAATGTTCAATCTCAATTCCGAGTGACATACAATAGTCATTGAAAGCTTGATAAGTGAATTCACCGGCGTTATCAAGCCTCACTTTCTTAATGGTATAATCAGGGAATTGAGTTCGTAGTTTGATAATTTGAGCAAGAAACCTCGCGAATGCAACATTGCGGGTTGATAACAGACAAACATGTGACCATCTGCTTGATGCATCTATCAATACCATAAAGTATTGAAATGATCCACTCGGTGGATGTATTGGTTGGCCCAACAAGAATTATGTCATTCTTGGATCGAATTCATCAGATTTAGAGCTAGAACGGACGTGACCTTCAAATGACTGATTGAGCGACCAAACCTTCACCAAATATTATATACTTTATATCCACGTGAAGCTCTGGATGTCTAGTTTATGCTGCTTCAAACGAAACTGTGATCGGAGTCTCTAATCAAAAGTTATGAATAAAACAAGACAACCTACTCAATCTGTATTCTCAGGACTGAACCGTGGATTGTGTCCTCTCTGTGAAATATAATCCAGAGGATAATGCTGGTAATTTCTCCATCATATACTTCTTTCCAAAAATCATTATCGTGATACAAAGGTATTCACGATTCATTTCAATCATAGTCTCGACATAATATTTATTTTGATGGATATCTTTGAAACTCAATAAGTTTCTTTTAAGACTTTGGAGAGAATAATGTGTTATGGATCATGATCTTTGTGCCTCCAGACATCATAAAACTAGCTCTTCATGAGCCCATGATCATTCTCGCATTTCCAGATATTGTATTAACACTGGATTCAGTAATACTCAACTCAGAAAAATATTTCTCATCTTTAAGTATTGTATGAGTCATAGCACTATCGGCTAGACATATATCTCCATCATTGATCTTGGATTTCGACATATCTCAAGTCGAATTGATCAATGTGAGATAAGAAATATTCTTGAAAACAAGGATAAAGATGAAATAATGCATGACACATAAACTGAACGTTAGAGTACAACAAAAACTAGAGAAAAAAAATGTACAACAAGTCTTTTAAATAAAACATACTAGAAAAAAAAATATAAAGTGCAACATTTATAACAAAGAACGATAATAAACTTCATGTCGATTTTCTCAGTTTGTCATTTTTCATCTTCAGACTGATCAAGGAAATCCGCAATATCCAAATATGTTCCATCTCCTTCTTTATCGATGAAATCATCAGGGACACCAGATACAAAATTTGTCTGGATATTTTTCCCTTTATTTTTACGTGATTGTTGATATAATTCAACAAGATATTTCGGTGTACGACCGGTCTGTGACCAATGATCGTTCATACCACATCGATAACAGATATTATCTCAAACAGTACGAAATTATATTCTCGCACAGACTTTAAAGTCTTGAAATCTCAGATTCAGTCAATCATGTTTGGCTCTCGAATAGATTACATATTTCTCATGATCAAAACGATCTTTGAGTGATTCCCATAAATCTGCGGGATTTCCTTTCGTGCGATATTCATCTTTTAGAGCATCGCCAAGATGACGTCGCAGAAATATTATCGCTTTTGCCTTATCAGCCTTAGATGTTGTCTGCCCTTTTTCAATTGTTTTGACAATCTCTTTAGCTTTCAGATGCATTTTGGCATCAAATGTCCATGTCATATGATTTTTGACATAAACATCGAGGGCAGCGATTTCAAGATGGACCAGATTCGACATATCTATCAAATAGAAAAATAATAAATTTATGTTATCCATAATTATATATTTAAGCAAGAATTAAAGAAACATTAGATATAATGCATATATTATTAGGCGATAATACCGTCCATATTAAAATAAATAGTTAGGTGGCATAATCATCCATCACATAAATAATAAAATAAATAATGATAGAAATAATAACAATATTACATAAATAGTTAGAATGATAAAAATATAATGGGGTGGCATAGCCATCCTTCACGATAATATCTATATTTAGGTGGCATAGCTGACCATTATGATAATAATAGCAATATTCATAATAATATTTACAGGTGGCATAGCCAACCATTATGATAAGAATAGCAATATTTATAAATATTCATATCATCGACTGGTGGTTGAGTCCGCGAGATCTATATGAATGTAATATAAATATATGCGATTAGTTTTATATTATTGATCGGTGATTGAGTCTCCCAAAGTCTATATATAATGAAACTGAAGATAAATAAATAAAGATAGAGAATCATACATTACCTTTTGTATAATATTTTCTTTTATACCTCTATATCGGTAGAATCTTGTACTGATAACGTGTTGAAAACATAAGACGAAAAAAATAATAGTAGAATACTGAAAAGAGAAAATATGATATTCTTCTATTTCGTATGTTACAAATGAAGTATATCGTTCACGTATTTATAGATAGATATAAGAAGCTTCTTCATAGTGAAGAAAAGTCAGTTTCTTCGTAATGAAGAAAGACCATAAATACGATAGATATAAAAAATTTCTTTATAGTGAAGAAAAGTCAGCTTCTTCGTAACGAAGAAAGACCTTGAATACCTTGATGCCACTGGATAACGTCACGTAACATATATTGTTATTCGCATTTTCTCAAACTGCAATACGTGTGGATGGAGCATCCAAGAAAAAAGAAATTACAAAACCAAGATAAGGTGCTCTTTGCCGTGTCATTCACATACAAACATACATACACACATACCTACATACAAGGGTGGTATAGATCGTTGAAGATCTAATCAACAGTGCACAGAAAACCAGCTACACGATCTTGAAGACGAAAAGCGTAATCGAAATTATTATCATTTAGACTGAAATGAAACATACAATGATGCATCAGTTCCAAACAAGGACACACACACAGATCAAACCAAACAAACACTTGAATGTCTCCCTAAATCGTCCCAAAGATCACAACTTCGAACCGGGTTTCATTATTCTTCTTCTTCCATATACGCGTATATATATATATGTGTATGTAATGATGGGTTCAGTCAAGATCTTGTCTTGATCTTAGAACCCGTGGATCTTGATCTGATCCTTCTTGCAGATACCCTTTTGGACGAAGAACTGGGAAACGTTCTTGCGCTGGTCGCCTTGGAGCTGAATGATCTTTCCTTGCTCCTTGTCATGAACCACGTTCCCGTTACAGCAGAACTCTTTCTTCAGATCCTTGAGAATCCTCTCGTAGCTGTACTCCTTCTTCAGCCCCTGCACCGTCGTCAGGCTCTTCTTCCCATTCCTCTGCTGGATTCTGATATGGATGTACTCCTTCGCTCCAGGCGCATCCGAATCTCTGGCCTCTGCAAACGGGTCAAACGCTGTCGGAATCTGGATGTCTAGATCAACCATGTATATATGTATACTCCTGTCTTTTTCTCACTGCAAAGATCACGATCATCAAGTTGTTAGATTCCGGTCCCGGTACAGCAGATCTTGGGAACAAGAACATAAAAGAACGCAACACAGATAGGATTCAGATGATGATCTGACAAAAGAATCTAACAACGACCATGCTTATCACTAACAGATGTGAAAATCTCCGGACAAAAACCCAGAAACAGAGATGATTTTTCAGAAAACAGCATCTCTCACAAGAACTGGCCAAGCAAATCTGACGCCTTCTTGATCATAATTCATTTCTAAAAGTTCTAAAATTTGCAGGAGAGATCTAATGACATGTTCTTTTGAAGAAGATAAGAGAAAAGACAGAGAGATGGAAACGTACCTGAAGAAGGAAAGAAATTCAAGACTCCGCTTCGTTTTTCTCTTTCCAGTTGACGGAGAGAGGAGAGGGGAAAGGTCGGAAATAATGGAGAAGATCGTTGCTTCCGATCACAACCGCGAATACCGATCTCGATAAGTATGTACGCACATCGTGATATGGTTGGACAAGTCTTATTAGATCTCCACGAACGTGATGGACATAGTAGTCCACTTGCCTCGACAACGAAATGGACTGACCCTATACACGTCACTTGAACGAGATTAGTATACGTCAAAATATCAACAGTAATTGGCCTTAAAAAACTCTTTTTGCTCATGAATTAGCGTTTCCACTAACAAGTTGGGTGTTTGTACGGATTCGCTGAGAGGAGAAGCAGAGAATAACTTCTCATCACGCGTACAATGGACGCGCACCACAAATCTGTGGCCCCACTTATAATCCTGATGCCACGTCATCAATTAATTGCTAGAAGAACCGTGAAGACCTATGATTCAAATAAATAAATATGAAAAAATAGTATATAAATACTTAAATTTTTAAGAAAATTTTATATAAATATCTGAATTATTAAATTTATATATAAATATCTAATTTTTTAAAAAAATTATTTAAATATTTAGATTTTTGAAATTTTTTCTAAATAAATATAAATTTTAGATATTTTTAAATAAAATAAGTGATGTTATTAACGGATTTTAGATTTATTTGAAAAAAATTTCAGATTCTAGGTATTTATATAGAATTTTCGAAAAATTCAAATATTTATATAAAAATTTGATAGTTCATGTATTTACGTAAAAATTTTATAAAAAATTAGGTATTTATGTAATATTTTTCTAATAAGAACAATGATAAAAATGATGTTGATGATGATGTTGGCGATGGATAAAATAATAAAAAAAGGATGAAAAACAGGCGTCGGCTCATGGAAGAAATCAACCATTTGGCGGTTACTTTTATGTGTTTATAAAGTAACGTCATTTAAAAATTGTTAGGACTAAATTTAAATTATATTTTATATAATTAATAGCCAAGGAAGAGACGTATAAACCACGGCGGAATATGCCCCCATATTAAAACGACAAGTAATGTAGTAAGTTAGTAACTTGGGCTTATAATATCCGTCATGCCACCTATTCTTTCTCATAACTATTATTAATTTTTAATTTATTAAAAAATTTTGGTTTGACATCATTTGGATAAGGTAAGGTGCTATATGGATTTAGCTGGGTCGAACGTTAAAAGGCCTTTTTATAAGCCCAATAAAAAGCCCATTTAACTTGAACGACGTCGTATAGTTCAGACGTTTTTTTGCCGGAAACTCCCGCCTCCTACCTTTTCAAAACCCTAAGTCCCCATTTTCCCTCTCTTTTCCTCCCCCTCCTACAATACACAACCCTATCTCCCTTCTCACTTGCCCACCACAATCGATCTCCAACCCCACACAAACCCACCTGATCCGATGAAATCCGTTTCCAGAACGCCGGTGAGAAGAAACGACGGCGGTTGTTTCCACCGTTACCTGAAGCCAGGGGTTCTCGCTCAGATCCGTGACTCCAGAATCAACGCGAGATCTAACTCGCTCGTCACCCGCTCTTCTGCGCAACGACTCGACTCGTCCATGCCCTCTCCGGGTAGCCCTTCGCGAGCAACTCCGCAGATTTTGACGATTGATCATGTTCCCGATCTCTTGTGCAAGATCTACGGACCTTGTAGCCTCCGGAGGAAGAAGCTCGTCGCTGCTAGATCCATGTCGTTGATGGACTTGAACGCTGCTTCAAGTACTCTGCTCGAATCCGTCGGTGGTAATAGCAGTGTATTGAATAATGATGCGTTAGTTTCTCACTGAATTAAACGTAGTTGATAATGGATACCTTCTGTTCTTGTTGTAGATTGCTTCCCTTATTTGTTAGCTGATCCAATTTGGTAAAAACTGTCAATTTTTCTTGAACGGTATAGCTCCGAATAGATTTTACATAGATTATGGTTTCGATACTCCAAAGATTACATCTCTGAGATCACTCATTTCGTTCTTCAATCAATGGATCAGTCTATCATTTCAATGATGTTGGAAAATCAAATGAATGAGACGGATAAATTGAAGTTGCAAGCTATCCTTTCAGACGATTCATATGAAACAAATATTGTCCTATGAGATTTGGATGCTAAGTATCTCCATGTTCTAATCCAAAATCTTAGGAACTCAGCACAGCAAGAGACATTGATAAAATTAAGGTTTTGGCACAGGTCACGTATTCAGGATTTTCAGGTATCTGATTCCAAAATTTGGATTTCTGTAATGGTTATATCTTGTCAAGATCTGCCGAATAAAACTTTATATTGTTCATTCAACCAAATTATATATATAGAGAGAGAGAGTAAATTTAATCCCATTAAAAAAAAGTATATAAACTGTTCTATTAGAACACTAACACTCATCTTATTAAGAACATAATTTCATAATTGATAACTCTATCCCTATAATTCACAATATATCCAAATTCATCTTTATTAATGACCGATTCAAATGTAAAGCCGTAGATAAACCTGCCATGGACTTAGTCAATGTCTGATTTGATTAGCCCATGTAGGATAAAGATCTAAATAATCATTATTAGCCGTATGGAATTTGTATATGCACTTAAAAAAAAAAAAGTGCAGTGAATGCAAGTTCGTTGAATGATGGCTTCCACTTGCAATCCGTGGGGTCGCCATTTAACAGCATCTTGCAAACAAGCATCTCATTTTCAATTGTACAAATGCTTATAAATTCATTTCTTACCGCTCCATTGGACCGCGACCCAAACAAAGGCGGACCCAATTCATTAGCAATGGCCTTTTCTTTTGATTTAAAAAATTAATTTTTAATAAATTTAAATTTATCTCTAAACAATTATATAAATTTACTATTGCCCCCAATTATATATTTTTTTTTTAATCTGCTATGGACCAAAATGCTATTTTAATGTTATCATGGTTTTGAAGGATTAGTGTATCGTAATTGTATTCAAGTAACCAATCCCTTTGTCCATTTCCAATTTATGTCCACGTCACCAGCCAGCCAGACAGTAGACACCACCACCACTACTCGTGAATCTATCTTTTTCTTCAGACCATACCTGACCTAAAGTTGCAATCTTTTTCTCTGATGATACATGCTAAAGTCGTAATCTTGACAAAGAGAAAAACAGCATATTTCCTATTGAAGCCCAAAAGCTTCCATCTTTCGGGGGTCGAGCGCGTGAAGTTACCATTTTGCCCATCCGGGTTTTTTTTTTGGTAACCGGGTTTCGTGGGCCGACGCCCAAACTAATTTCGGGGTCGGAGCCAGCCATGTGATTTGAATTATGCACTCCCTCCTCAACCTGAGATTCGAATTCGGGGCGGAACAGACGTTTTGCGCCCCCGTTTCACCGGTTGAACTACCCAGGTTGGGTTTCATCAGGGTTTGTTTATGCTGCGATAAAGTTTGAATCTTTGAAGCGCGTGACCATTATCTCTGCATTGCGTAGTTTTTTTAATCTCGGCTTTCTTTCGGGGGTAAGTTCATGAATGAGAACGAGATTAGTTTAATTGATGAGAGATGAGCCGTGAAAGAGGAGGAGGTAAACTTTGCCACGAAATCTACTGTATTTATTTGACCAGAGACGACTGGCTTTCAGGAGCTGAAAGTCATAATAATGTCTGGCCGTTGGCGCCCATGTCTTTGGAGATGATCTATAGAGACAAAATAAGCTATTCGTGTCTTGTTCCTCGTGTCCCTTTTGTCTTCTCTCTCCTCTTTTTTTTTTTTGTCTTCTCGTTTTTTGATTCCTCTTCAGAACATCGCCTTCACCTTCCAGTAATATTCTCTCTGCTTCTGTATATAATTTTCCAGGTAAATCGTCAAACCAGATGTATTCAGGCAGGTTTTGCGTGTGTTTTCATGCCCTGTGTGTGTTCTTTCCAACAGGGTTTTGCTTTTTGTTGATTCAGATTCCCTCCAATAATCTAGAGAAAGCTGCATAGTATCTTCAGAAGATTCTCTGGACAAGGTAGGATTCCTATGTCCCCATGTCAATCTGACAGCTGTCTGAAATTAGGGCTCAAGGTAGATTCTCCTTGTACCCGGCTTCAAATCATGTGATGAGAATCTTCTCTTCGTTGTGTATGCAGAGCTGCGAAATCAAATCAATGGAGGACAAGAACCAGTACGGTGTGTGGAGGTTGGCGGGAGAGGAAGAACTCCAGGTGGAAGACGTGTGGGATGTTCTTGATGATGGATACGGACATGGACATGAACATGAACATGATCAATCAACTTCAGAAATCGACAAAACCTCGGATCCCTCTTTTCCGTTCCAAAGGTCTCGTCCTAGGGTTATCCCAAGAACAACCACAAGCAGCGTACGGACAAGGCAACACTCGGCTCCTGTCAATGTTCCTGACTGGTCAAGAGTTCACAGAGGGAAGCCAAAGAAAGCTGCTTCCAGTGATGATGATGATGATGATGATGTGTCGCCGGAGGCGTATTTCATGGGTCGGATACGATCACCATCGTTCTCGGTCATCGAAGGAGCTGGCAGGACGCTGAAGGGGAGAGATCTGAGCAAGGTTAGGAATGCAGTGCTGAAGAAAACTGGCTTTCTTGAGTAGCAAGTTTCCTCTTTTAGTTTTTTAATACGAACAAAGATTCCAAGATTCCCCTGTTCTTAACGGTCCATGGAAACGTATTGATATGAAATAAAATTAATACCAACCACGTAATACTTCTCTTTTGTTTCATTCATATGCTATTCAATATTCATCCATCAATACAAATACGACACACATATATATAGTGTGTATATATATATATATATATATATGTCATATATAAACATGGTTCAAGCCCACACAAGCATCAATAAGACTATACATAGCTTCCACTTTATCTCCTTTGAAAAATCTCAACTCTTTTATTGCTAAATCCTTCGTCTCCTCCACTCGTTTCATTGTTTCCACGTTGTCTTCTTCGCCGTCCCTCCTCTGCAAAAACCCCACTATTTTTCCCACATTTAACCCGTAACTTCTCAATTTATCAATCTCGTCCTCGCCTCCGCCGCCGAGCATCGCCCCGCACGCCGCCGAGCATGCATAAATCTCGCCCTCCATTTTCTCCGACGTCTTTCCGACTTCTTCCACGTGTCCCGATGACAGTACTTCCCTGTATTGCCCCTCGACCACCCCTTGTGACCCGATTGCCCGGCTCGCCTCGATCATGACCCGCAGGATCCGACCCGATTTCTCCGGATCTTGGTCACGTGTTTGGGCCAACATCTCCATCGCGAACGGAACCATACCGTCTCCGATCAAGAGCCGAATACTCGAATCGTACGGACCGTGGGCTGTTGGCTGGGACCCACCGAGCCCCAACAGCGGTTCGTGAGTACTGTACGGCACGGTGAACAACAGCCGGAGCGCCGCCGCAACCGCCACGGCCTCGTCTCGGCTCTCACCGCCGACTAGCTCGTAAGCGGCGACGCACAATGCCGGAGCCAAGTCGGCCGGAG